TATCGAGGTATCGTGAATGGTTTGTTTGTTGATGTTGAGGTTCTGTTGGTTTCCACAGCGGGACGGATGGCGGGGTGTGGGGCCATAGTGAGAGCTCTGGCAGTTGGGTCAGTACGGTACGGCAGTTGGTCAATCTTCAGGGCCTAACGAGGTTTCAGAGATTTGATTTTCGATTAGGTTAGATAGGCAGAGCTGAAGTATTGCATTATTTCGAGTGATTTTGTGTTTTTCGTATCATGTGCTTCTGAACGAGGTTGTCCTTTAATTACCTAAGGTATACCTATAGGCGGTTTCGCCGACCTTGGTACCAAGTCACTAAGGTGTTACAGCCCACCTACCGTGGGTAAGTGGTTGAAATATCTCTGCTTCTGCATCATCTTCAAACCGTGTCGACTTGACGTTCACGATCCGCTCTCTAAGCTTCATCCTGCAATTTTCACTATCTACTAGACTAATTCATCTACTGGCTCCGACGGCCACTGTTTCAAACCGCTCATCATGGAGACTTCAGGCGAGCAACAGCCTGCAAGCGTGCCACAACCTGTACTTATACCAAGACTGCCCGTCGACATTCTCTATCACATCGGATCTCTTCTGGCTGCTGAGTCCGTCATTGAGCACGAGCATCAAATAGACAGCAACAGTTCGTGCGACTGCTGCATGGACAAGTCGTCAACTACTCTCTACAAATTGACCTATACCTCCAAAGCTACCAGAGATGTCTTGGAACCCTTGCTCTATCGGAATCTCATCTTGACAACTCCCCAGGATGTCACAAACATATTCATCAATCTCATTCAAAGACCTGAACTTCGCCAACATGTTCAGTACATTCTTTGTTATGCTGATTTGGTGGGACCGCGTGTCAGGAAATTCGAAATGCCTGAATGCAAGAAGATTTGGTCAAAGCGATGCCCTTCTGACAAACCTGCTCTGATGCGTCTTCTCGATGGCGCTGGGCTTCACAAACTTGCTTGGTCGGCTTGTATGTTGGAGCGAACAAAACAGCGATTCATGTTTTCTCCCGATTTCAAGCATGATGGCATTCTGGAACTGCTGTTTGCCTCTATCCTCTTCTTGTCGCCAAACGTCACCAGCTTTACCTGGCGGGATTGCAACAACAACCCAAAAGCCTTCATACTGGACCACATTATGTGCAAGGCGGTACACGACGGCCTCCCTCTCATGCCCAAGCTGCAGAAACTCAGCACCGAAAAGGCAGAGTTTGAGGAGAGCAAGCAAGCACAATTTTTCACCCCGCACATCAACCTGTGGGAGAACTTGTATAGCCTACAACTCAACGACATCGACCTTGACATGGAGTTTGTTTTGATGCTTTTCAATGGAAGCTTCAAAGAGAACCGGCCCGTGAGAGAACTTATCGTCCGCTGCGTGACTGGTTCAGAGCGACCAGAGAGCTTGACCTCGTTCCCACCAGGTTTCGAACTGGCATCGACAATGCTTCTGGGGGACAAGAATCTCGATAATTATAAGGACCAGTTCAAAGCTTTCCCTAATCTCAATCTCCTCGATGTCACTTTTGTCTTTCACAGAGGACGCATGGAAGAAGGTTCACTTACTTTAAAGGCGTTTTTACACGCCGTTGGGTCACCCGAGCGCCTATGCCTGTCGGGCCATCCTCTTCCGATCTCGACTCTGGACACCGGCGTCACACACTCAAGACTCAAATACCTCAAGGTCCGGGAATTCCAGCCAAACGCGCCTGCAAAGACAACATCGAAGGACAACCTCATCGCGGGACTCAACCAATTCTGGAACAAAAAGTCCATGGTCGTGCCGAATCTTAAGGAGATTGACTGGGATCACTACACATTCAAGAGGGAAGACATGGAGGGCGAGGATAAAGCTGTTTGGGAACTTGTTGGAGAAGAAGAATGGGAAGATGATTCGGGCTCTGATGAAGATGAAGATGAAGACGAGGCAGCGCTTTGGTACTCTATGGGAAGAGGCGATATAGATGCATTTGTAGAGAGTGCAATGGATGTGGAAGACATGTGGGATGCCTGGGGACCTTAGAGTGAGATCTGGTACTTCTGAAGATTTTGTAGTCTACATCTACGCGCCCACAGAGAGACGAACGGTTAACAGGCTAGACAGATTATCATTGATCATCTAGAAGACACAATTCATGAAACACTTCAGCTATCTATGAGATCGTGGTAACTACCGAGTCTCAAATGCCTCTCATAGCGAATTTGTGATACATGGCTGAGCCGGTCTCATATACCCGAGACCTTTAGTCAGTCAAATAGCACTGTTTCGCGATCATAGACCCGAACTTGATGGGAAAAGCCAAACCGAATTTCTGATGAATTATAAAAGGCTGAGGAGCCTGATGTAAGAAAAAGCCAAACTGAAATTTTGTCGAGCTGCACAGTTAGTAGATCACGAAATGCGCTTTGAGGTACTGCGAAGAGCCCACCCAAGCTGACGTTTCGTTGCCTTGAAGGTGGTTCCTTCAAACGCAATTCAAATGTGGTAGCTTCGAATTATCAGTTCACATCATCCTCATCCTCATCATCCTCATCAGGAGCTGGAGCCACCAAAGCATTCAAAGCTCCAGCTGCCGACAAATCAATGGCCATTTGAACAATATCTGGGTGCGAAGCCTCCATGTTTATGAGAAACTGCTGCAGTAGTTCAGGCGTCTCTACGCTTTGAACGAAATTCTGAAGGTCTTCCCGGGACATGCTGTGCAACTGGTGGAACATACTCGCTTCAGCGGACATAATCCAGGAGTCATAGTTGAAGTATCCCGTTTGGCCGCGGTTCTTGAGGCGAACCTTCTGCTGGCAGGACATGAGCAACCGGTCAGTAGCCGTGTGTGAATCCCATTTAGCCAGGGGCTGCCAGGTAGCGTGGATCGGGTGGCTTGCGTTGAGGGTGAAACCGGATTCATTGTGGTCCTCGATTCTGATGTTGATGAATTCGGCCTTGTCGAACATGTCAATGTCCCAGAAGACATACCCCCATGGAAGTGACTGGTAAGTGGTGACTTCTCCATCGGATTCGTTCAGGAAAATTGCATAGCGACTTAGGATATGCCACGCGTTCTCTGGCCCGGGGTCGGGATCTTTGATGAAGGGGGTACGCATCATGAAGTCTGGGGTGTCCATCCGTGCCCATTTGCCCGGAGCCCCCTCGTAATCGTGGACAACACAGGTGAGATGCTCGTCGTTACCGGGGAAAGGAGGCCTGGTTGGGAGATGAGGGTTCCAGTCAATGGGTGGATTGATACTTCGCATAACTCTCGCTCTTTCGATTCGTGACCCAGCAGTCAGAAAGTCTTTCAGAAAGGGGAGGCCTTGGGCAATGAGACTCATTGACCCAGGGCACAGGGCATGGCTGATGTAGTATGGTAGCTGGGTACCCAATTCGATATCTCGTTCGAGAAAGGTATTGAAAGCTGGAACCATTAGACCATATGTAATCATTATTGATGAGGGGACTTACAAGGTGCGATTTCAGTAACCAAGATGCCGCAGATGCTAGTCAGCTGCTCAATCTCCACGGCAGAGTACTGGCTGTGAAAAGCCTTGAGAATGCGATGTTCCTCCAAATCCTTCAGGCAATGAACCCAGTGAGCCTCCTTATGCTCCTCTTCGGTCGGGGGTCTGTTCATCCCATGATTGTCATGTAGATGCGAGGCAATCATGAGCTTCATGATGTTCAAACACGCATCCAAGCGATACAGCGCACGCTGAAAGCGCACCCGAACATTAGTGTTGATAGAGAATGCACCTCTGTACTTGACGACTGGATGCTTTTTAATTAGGGACGAAGGAAGACGTTTTGCGAAGTATTCAACAGCTTTATGAAGGCGCCACATCTTCTTAACTCGGTCGAGGGTGAGGAACTGGCTGTAGATGCGCTGCTGTTCACTGGAATAGACGCGATTGATAGCCTTGATGCCAGCTTTGAGGCCCTGCCATTCTGCCATTTTCATGTTGAAGGTCACGACGGCTTCCCGGTAAACGGGTTCCTCCATGGAGTTGAAGAGGACGCATGATGTAATGTAGGCGGGACGTTGTTTGAAAGCGTTGTAAAGCTTCGAGCCGGAGAGCATAGCAGCACGGATAGAGGCTCTGTCGGGTAAGAAAGAGAGGGCATAGGAGAGAACTTCGGGAGGAAGTTTCTCGATGGGAGACGTCTCGTCGCCGCTCGCATCCGAGGCCATTTCGATGTCACTCGTATCTGAGACCATGTCGATTTCGCTCGTATATGAGGCCATGTCGATGTCGTTGGAGGACTCCGCTGAGGAGCCTGGCTTGGAATGCTCCGACATCGTGAGAAATCAGCGCGAAGATGAAGAAGGCGTCAAGAGTAAAATTGACCAGGATGGAAGAGATAAGGAGGAGTTAGCAGAGTTTGTTTACCGTCAGGTTTGTTTACTGTCAGTTTGTCCGTGAATCATCCCGCGGGTGATTGGCAGTTGCTAGCAGTGTTTGCAGCTGCCTTGACAAGCAGCTCGCCTTGGGCAAACGTCGTCTACTTTGAGCAGCGAAAAGTCTTGCAAGAGTTGACTCATATAATTCTAGAGATGTTGTTGGGCTGTAGGAGCTTGACGTTTGACGTCAAACTGTATCTTTGTCGTTTTGTGTAACCTTCCTACTAACGACCCAACCCTTTTTGTTGCGAAACCACAGTAAGAATTGGGCTGCTGGCTAATCAACATCAAATGAATTCTCAATAAATTTGCAGAATTGGCACCCTGCAAGGTATTTATTGTCTGGTTCGATATCTCCTGGTCCTGATGTTGTTCCCAGTGCCCAGAAATGAATAAGGCCTCCTCACCTGGTCTCTAAGCCAGGTTTGTGCACCAGTACTTCCATCCTTTAGTACTGTGGCTCCAAGTTCCCCTCTTCTCACCCCGATGCTTCTAACCATCTGTGTAACCAAGACGTACAATCAACCTATGAACTGCCAAGATAGCCCCGAAACAAATTCCTTCGTGACCAAGCATCCATGCATCCGTTATCTCAAAGGCGGTCATCGAGGTCCCACGCCGTTTCTGTAACATATGCATACCAGGTGTGATTGTGTGGAGTGAACCAGGTTCGTTGCATTCCCAAATCACATAATGATCCGAACCCCCAGTTCGCTATATCTCGAAACTCATCCTTTTGAACGGGGCCGTTTACAGAGTCGTAATTTTCTTTGGTGCCCACGGTTACTTTGCAGGATCTGAACGAAGCCCATATGGTTGTATTCTTCTCGATTTCGGTGAGAAAAGGATTATGAATAAACCGATTGAGAGCGTGCTCACAATCTGATCGAGCGGCTGTGGTGTTCGTCCCGCATCCCCAGTAGTATGTGCTCGAATTGTATGATGGGTTCCAGCCCAGCATGTCGTGACGCAAAAAGTTGGCGGCTGTAAGAGACAGAAGAGACATGAACGTCAATACGAACCACATTGTGTCAGATGGAGCTTTTCTGTGTTCTTAAGATCGAATATGACGCGGTGGCTTTATAAGTTAGGTTATAATTAAGGAGAAATCACTTGCTTAGATGAGCGGGAAGGGAGTCCCTTTATATACATCTTATTTCTATTGATTCACCTCATGTCTCTCATTCATTCACATACTTAGTCACTATATAATTACCTCTGACTAGGTAGCTCAACTAGTCGTGTGAGCCGCAGTTTGAATAGATGCACATCAGTGTTCCGATTCACTACTTCCTTAGTGGAGCTCAAAGTCAGTCATGCTGCTCTCTGAGTTATTTGTATGTGCTGTTGAACATCATTTAACACTAGGCTTGTTGCATGCTTTGTGAACGACAGCTAGGCGCGGTTCAACTTTGGTCTTAATAACAACTGAGAGATGATTTGTACTTGTGAAGGACGTAAGGGGTTTTGTTGTTGATCATCCGACCGGAGCACGATGGCTACCTAGAAAACGACACAAGTCACATCGATATCCTAATCATTGTCCTCGAGACTAAGCAGCTAAGAACCTATGGACAAGGCCGAACTCATGTTGATGTCAACTAGCCCCTGAACCTTTAAGCTCTTGGGATAATTAGTACTTTATTGAACGGCGGAACCGACACTACCCTAAATGATATGATAGGTCCCTCTAAAAGTCATCACGAGGCTCCCAGCCCTTCTCCGTTACATAGGCTACCCAAGTATTGTTATTTGGCTTGACTGTGGTTCGGGTCAATTTATCGGGGCATTTATCCACCAACCCCTGATGCACAACATCCACAAACTCATCTTGCTGGATTTCGAGGGCAAAGTGTCCGAGGGGCCCGGGCTGTATATAAAGCTGGCAAGAACCCCAATACTTGGCTAGGCCATTGGCTTTTCCGATACCAAACCAGCCAGTTTTGGAAGTAGTCTTGAACCAGTCAAGTAGCTCGTTGCAGTCTGATACACTGAAAGGGGCCATCTATTGTATGTAAGTAAAATGGAAATACTCCAAGATTGTTGAGAAGTAACCTACATGACCACAATCCCAGGAGTATTCTCCATCTGTATCTGGGGCGCTGCGAGACACATGGCTCGCCGTCGTTAGCGAGAGGAGGGAGACGAAAACTAAGAGAGATCGCATGATCTTATCTGGGTAGCTGTATTTTATAGTACTTTGAAATGATGGTCGTGGGTGGTGCTGTATAGCTATGTGTTTTCTGAGACGTGAGAGAACCAACATGTTCCAGGAGCGTGCTTCTTATAGTGAATCCATCACCCCCATTCAGCTGTCAAACGGTGTTATTGAAAGCAACATCACTGTTCGTGGCTTGACGAATAGCTGTTGAATTGCTTTGAATCGCGACCAGACGTTCAAGCAGAAACATGCCCTGAATGCTGAGTACTGGAACTTATGGTGATTAGAGTAAACGTTTATTCTATGTGCAGACGGGGAACGAGATTTAACAAGCACAGTCATTATTGACTATGAATTAGCTCCTACTAAGCTCATTTAGTGCAACAATTTGAGTCTATCAGACAAATTACTTTTAGTAACATTGGCTGACCTGAAGTCATACGATTGTACATTTTCGTCAAACTTGTGAATCCAATGGGAATACCCTATAGACTTGGTGCAGTCGTTGATCGTAACGGATCAAAGAAATGCCGGGCCACCACCGACGATCTTCCCTCCCGCGACTGGGGTGACAGCTCGGATGTCATAGCGGGGCAACACCTCGAGAGCTCCGACCTTCTTCCGTCTGCCTAGAGGAAGCTCAAACTCCCAATCTTTGTACCAATCACTCCGAATAGCATTTCTGTTACTTTGAGTTTATTATCTTTGAATTGTAACGGACCAAGATCGTATCTTCTCCTTCTACAGTATCAACTTCCTCAATACCCCTCCATCCGTTACCCCGCGCTTATGATCTGAAACCATCAAGCTCACACCATCGTGAAGCTCGCTCAGTATGGCTTCTGGTCAAATCAGTGCCACGCCGCAGGCGGTGATGGGTCACGTTACAAAGCTCAGTGACAATGACCCCGACTTCCGTTTCATGGCCCTAAACGATTTACTTCAACTTCTGCATATCGCTAAGCCCGACTTTCTGCACCATGACTATAATATCGCCGCTCGTACTGTTGATAGTCTCATCAAGGTGTTGGACGATCAAAATGGTGAGGTGCAGAACCTTGCAGTGAAGTGGTATGTCAAGCGGACAATCCAATCTATGAAGTGCTAACGGCTATCAGCCTGGGCCCATTTGTGGGCAAGATTCCGATGCCCGTTATCGCTCCCTTGATCGAGAAGCTATCGACTCTGAAGCTTAAGAATTCTGTGGACAATGCTGTTCCTTCACTTGCCCTGCGAAATGTCATCATCGCTCTCCCTCGACCAGTCCCAGGCCTCCCACCAACAAACGATGTGCAGGAAGCATATAGCGCCATCAGCCGCGTGTTGATCCCCCGGCTTATTGGGCCCGGCCCCAAAACCCAGGTCCCAAAGAACCCCAGGGTCCCTCTTCCTCCTGTCCCCGAAGGACTCCTACAAAATGAAGGCGACCTCAACGCAGAAGCTGTCGACGTATTGATTGAGGTTGTCCGATGCTTTGGACCTATGCTTGTTCAGGTTGAAGTAGAGGCTATGCAAGAGGTTGTTATTCAGCTACTCGAAAGCGAGAAAGGCACATCAGTTGTCAAGAAGAGGGCTGTCGTTGCTATATCCATGCTCGCGGTCTATTTGTCTGACGAGCACCTGGAAGAAGTAGTCAGGCGAATCTCCCTTGGCCTAACGAAGCAAATCACCCCCGTCACCAGAAGATTATACATCTCGATCCTCGGTAGTATGGCCCGGTCGATTCCCGCACGATTTGGACCCCATCTTGCCGGTACTGTACCCTTGATTATCAAGGCACTTAGTGAGGAGGAGCTTCAAGAACATCTCGATGCGCTTAGCGACGGAGACGATCTTGGGCAAGATTTCAACGAGGTCCGAGAAGCTGCTTTGGTAGCCCTAGATGCCTTCTTGGCCTCATGCCCTCAAGAGATGCGCCCGTTCACAGATGAAACTATAGAAGCCTGCCTGCGATATCTCAAATATGATCCCAACTACAACGTGGATGACGAGGACGAGGATATGGATGATGAAGAGGAAGATGAAGAAATGGATGAGGACGACGAATTCGATGCCGACGATGGCTTTGAAGACGACGACGATGACGCCAGCTGGAAGGTTCGACGGTGCGCTGCAAAGACTATCTACACAGTTATCTCAACACGTGGCAGTGGTGACCTGCTTGAGAACGGTGTACTTTACAACCAGACGGCACCTCACCTTATAAAACGTATTTCTGAGCGAGAGGAGAACGTTCGTCTTGAAATTATTTCGGCACTTTCGCTCTTGGTTCGCAAGACTGGTGAAGGACTTCACACAACAGACCTCACCCTAGATGATCTTGAGCCAGAATTCGAGACCCGCATCCCCATCAGCAGGAAAAGAAGACGTCAGAGTAGTGGTGGAGGCGCTTCTGCGTCCCAATTCATGTCAGGATCTGGATTGGTTTCACCCGTCTTGGAGAAAATCCCTCCTAGCGGTCCACGAGCTGACTTGGCTCGCCTTACACCGTCCATCGTTAAGGCAACCACCAAGCAACTCAAGGGCAAGACTATTCCTACCAAGCAGGCAGTTATAAAGCTTCTGGATGACATAGTTTCAGTTCAACATGGCGGCTTGGCTGAGTACTTTGATCAAGTCATTGGACCTATAATTGAGGCTATCCAGCCCGCTGGTGCTGTATCCGCCTCGACTCAAGTGGCGTCCCATTCCGGCTCCTCTTCAGCGACCCCAAGCACTTTGAGAATCACTGCTCTTAGCGTGATCAGTGACATTGCAAAGACTCATTCGTCAACTCTTCTACAGCCCTATCTTACGAAGATTGTCGATGGTGTGGCATCTGCTGCCAACAATCGTTTCTACAAGATCTCAAGTGAGGCTATCCGCACCGTGGAGGAGCTGGTTAAGACGATTACCCCACCAAGATCACGCAATGCTGCTTCCAAGTACAAGGCTGAGCTGGAAAAGCTTTATACCGTCATTATAGACAGGTCCTCCGCTCAGGATGCCGATGCCGAGGTTCGCCAACGCGCCATCCATGCATTAGGAGTCCTTGTTTCGCGAAATTCAACCTCTGAGGGACCTTCCCTTCTCACTGAGGATAAGGTGAAGACTGCTCTGGAAGTCTTGCAAGAGAGACTGAAGAATGAGACTACTCGCCTTGCTGCCGTCCGCGCTGTGGAGAACGTTGCCCGTTATGCCCGAAACCCCGAACAACTGGACAAGGCATGGGTTCAAGATGTCAGTTTGGAACTGTCAGCACAGCTACGAAAAGCAAATCGGTCGCTTCGTGGCTCCAGTATCATTGCTCTTCGTAACCTTGTCTTGTCGCCCGCCACGAAGGGTCAGCTCGAACCGGATACCATTCAAGGAATTGTCACCGACTTGATGCCCATCATCGTTAACAGCGACGCGCATCTCCTTGGACCGACATTAATTATCCTTGCAAACTTGGTGATCGAGCACCCCGAGCTGGTGGTCACTGATGAGATGATTGCCGCCATCTCGCAGCTGCTCAAGGAGCATCACGCAGGAATCGTTCTTGACCAACTTCTTGTGCTAGTCAGCAACATTGGAGAGAGCGGAGTCGGCCAGGGGCTCATGCAGGGACTTTTGAAAAACGTCAGCGTTGCAGGTGACCCTCCTGTCGTCGGTAAAGTTATTGGGACTCTGCTCGTTACCGGCGGAGACTCAGTTGGTGTCAAGCTTGATAGCTTTGTCACGGAGCTCTATACTAGTGCTAAAACGAACGATGAAGCCCGAATCAGTCTTGCCCTGGCCGTTTTAGGTGAAGCCGGAAAGAGACTTGGAACAAGCTCGACGTTGAAGCCGGATCTTTTCTTGGATCAGTTCCACAAGGAGCCAGACAAGGTGTCTCTCTCGGCAGCCGTGGCTCTTGGCCAGGCTGGCTCCGGCAATGTTCCAGAATTCCTTCCCATCATCTTGAAGACCATGCAGAAAGGTGGAAACACTCAGTACCTCCTTATTCAGTCCATCAAGGAAATCCTACAATCGATCTCTGCGCAGTCTACTGACCTACGCAACTACGCCCCAGCTATCTGGGACGAGCTTCTCAAGGCTTCCGACAATGCCGACAACAAGGTCGTTTGTGCTGAATCTGTTGGACGACTTGTCACACTTGACCCTGCCGTTTTCATTCCACGGCTTCAGGTATGCAGGCCGAAGCCCATACGTTCTGAATGTTCTAACTCTTCATAGGCTCTCCTGAAGGACCAGTCTCTGGGTATTCGAGGGATGGCTGTTCAGGCTGTTCGCTATACCCTTCCTGAAAGTGACGAGGTTTTGGACGTGATGCTACGGGAGGTTCTAATTGAGATGCTTCTGACAATGCTACAAGACACCGATATGGATATTCGGCGACTAGCAATGATCACGCTCACTACAGCTGCTCGATCAAAGCCCGATCTAATTCACCCGCACTTGGGAGAACTGATGCCATTTGTTCTTCAAGAATCAGTCATCAAGAAGGAACTTGTGAAGGAAGTGATGATGGGCCCTTTCAAGCACACCGTCGACGATGGCCTGGAGGTCCGAAAGGTGCGTTAACGATGAACTCGTTGTGAACAGGAACTAACTTTTAACAGAGCGCGTATGAGACACTGTACGCCTTGATGGAGACTGCATTCAGTCGCATCAATAACATCGACTTTTACGATCGTGTCATCGCTGGTCTCAAGGATGATAATGATATTAGGCAGCTCTGCAATCTCATGGTGACCAAGCTGATCGTGATCGACCCCGATGAGACGACTCGACGCTTGAACTCGATCGCTGAGGCGTACAGAACTGTCCTCTCGGTCAAGCTGAAGGATAATGCCGTGAAGCAGGATGTAGAGAAACAAGAGGAAGCTAACAAGAGCATTCTCAGAGTTACTTCGCTGCTGGGAGAGAAGATGAAGGCCATGACTGGCAACGCTGGAGCAGCTACCAGTAACGCTGGTGCCGCCAGCACCTGGACAGGATACTGGGATTGGGTCAATAAGGAGTTTGAGAAGCAGTTAAAAACACTGAGGGAGGAGAACAACCAATTGCAGACCCGGATGGTCTAAGATCTACACTGTAATGGCAATGGCGAGGTGATGACAGTTCTGGAAGACGCAGTTCAGACAACTGGCCCGTTTCACCCTTTGGCACAACGATCATTGCACCGAGGATCAGGTACCATTATTACAGAAATTACAACAATTATACAATCTTGGACCAATACGCCGGATATTGGGATGGTTACCAATGGCGACGGACGGATCCTATAAAGCGAGAAGCTTAGTGGCACTACTACACGAAGCACGAGTTTTATTAGTCAAAAGTGTTGGGATTAACTCTCTTCCTCGTTTATTGGTTTGACTACTTGAAACCTCCTCACTGTTGCCTTCCAGCGACTGAATCACAGAATTCCTTTGGGGGCCAAAATTAGGTGGGTATGTTAGTACCTAGGAAGCCATTCTCGTATCTTGGTAGACCTCCCGAGATGATTCTAAAGCTATCTTTAAATTGAAAGAGTATTCTGGCTCATATTCATTAACTCCTGTCGCCTATGTATCGCTGCTTATAACCACCTACTTGTCTCGTAGCTGAGCTGCTCTCAACATTATGGGGCGCAGGATGATGCCTAAATGGGTAAGTGGGATAAAGAGCATGATCGCCAGGCCAAGACTGACGAGGACTGCATAGGGGCCAGGATGTTATGCGGGGGATCATATACCTTGCGGGAGGATAACGCGCCGTCTTATTTATATAAAGCCCATCCATTCCATTCATTTTCAGCGGATTGAGTCCTGCCTTCATCTCTTCAGTCTCTGAGTACCTTGCATGATGAAGATCCTAGTGCAGCCTCTCCCTCTTTTGCTTGTACTCACTGGCGATGCACTGGCTGCAAAGAACTACCATTGTCCTCCAATTGGCCCAGTCCTCCCTGTACCAACTAACCCAAGCTCACATCAGAATGTGAAAATTGCCATTGAGGCTATCACAGAGACTATAAAGGCCTATTCGAGCCTCCTGCACAGCACAGCTGTCTCTGTCGGTGTCACATCAATTCACGAGGACAAACCCTTGCTGGATTTCCATCACACGCCAGAAAATCTCGATCCTCGAGGCGCAAGCAAAATAGATGCCGACTCGGTTTATCGCATTGGTAGTATCTCGAAGGCGTATACTACCCTCGCTGCGCTCAAGCTCAAGGGAGTGGGCCTGCATGAGCCGGTGACGAAATATGTTCCTGAATTGAGAAAGTTGAATAAGCAGCAGAGTGAGAACAATGCTATTACGACTGTTGATTGGGACAAGGTATCGCTGCAGGCTCTTGCATCGCACATGGGAGGCATGCCTGCTGATTGTAAGCTTTGCATTCAATAGGAAATGGCGGTGCTAATGCTTGGTAGTGGCGACGGATTTGACGAGCTTTAGGAATTGGACTGATCTCGGTCTCCCTGCGGCGCATGATGTCTTGGGATGTGCTGGTCTGGTGGGAATTCCTCCCTGTGATGTTCAAGGTGAGTATCTACACACCAATACCTGTGGTTCTGACTAACTTGGCAAGACTTCTGGGACAATTTTGGCAAACGACCTCCGACTTTTGCACCTTGGGGAAACCCCGTGTACTCAAACATCGCGTTCTTCATTATGAGCTTGGTCATAGAGAGAGTTTCTGGAGAGTCGTATGAAGAGTTTGTGCAGAAGAATGTTCTTGATGTTGCAGGGATGAATAGCACGACTTATTCGAAACCCGATGACTCCGCGGGAGCCATTGGACCTGATGATACTTTCTGGAATAGCTCCATCGGTATCCTGAGTCCGTAAGTTTGATCACATCTGTGAGCCCTGACATCTGGCTAACTTGTACAGGGCTGGCTCGTTCTACTCATCAACAAAAGACCTCCTCGCTTTCGGATCTTCCATCCTCAAGCACGAGTTCTTAGACCTGGCAGAAACAAACGAGTGGCTCAAACCTGTGACTTTTACCAGTGGCAGGGGCGAGTTTATCGGCGCACCGTGGGAGATTGTGCGATCTAATAAGCTGACCTCTGACGAACGTGTGGTCAACGTCTACACCAAAGGAGGCGACATAGGAACATATCATTCCATTTTTGCAATGATTCCAGACTATGGTATAGTTATCAGTGTATTAGTCGGAGGACCTGAGAATGCGGGAGGTCTTCCTCTCGTTTTCTTCTCCATGATCACAAAAGTTCTTGTGCCCGCACTTGAAGCAGCGGGTAAAGACCAAGCAAAGAAGGCATTTGCAGGGACATACATCAACGAAGATACAAACTCGACTCTCGTTCTCGATGTTGACGACGACGGTCCAGGGTTAAGCATCACAAAGTGGATAGTCCGCGGAACAGACGTCTCAACACATTGGCTTCACTACCTCTCAGTGCTCAACCCCAACGTGCCCAAAATCTCACTATCTGGACGACTATATCCTACAGATCTCAAAGCGGGGAACAATATGGCGTGGAGAGCAATGTTTCGAATTGGCACGGCGGCTCAGATTGGGATGCAGGAGGGGTTGCTGTTCTGGGAGGATGCGAGTTGTATGAGTTGGGCGATGGTAGATAGAGCTGCGTATGAGTTCCTGGGATTGGATGAGATGGTGTTTGAGAGTGAGGATGGAAGGGCTGGGGAAGTTGAATTTGTGGGATTCAAGACAACTTTGAAGAGGAGTGAAAGGGAGTGATGAAACTGTGTATTGTGTCTATATAAGAAGTGCCAAAGTTCGCCAAATCGCTTTCGTTCTTGTCAACCGTTACGCTGAGAATGATGACCATTGAACATGTACTATAGACTGATCGTATAATAAAGAGTGTTGAGTGTGGTATGGTGTCAAAGGCGAGGAGTAGATACGTTGATGAGAGGAAGCGTGCATGGGAAAGCCACAGCGTATTGTGTGTCGAAGGTGAGACGTCGAGGGCGCAAGGAAGGAGACTGGAGAGGAACGGCTTCTTCTACAATGGCTGTCAGTTTGGTAATAGAGAATTGAGAGACAATGCAGAATACCGGAGTTTCGAGCAGAGTTAGACGGTGTTCTTCTGCAGAAACAGTGCCAAAAGACGAGAATGAAGGCGGGGACGTTGACTAACACACCAACGATGGCGACTATGACCTCTGGAGGCATGGCCATGCTGTGAGATTTGGTAGTTGAAAGACTGTGGTATTAACTTGAGAGAAAAACAGAGTACGTGAGCAGTCAATATGGAGTTTGTAGCAGGAGAATGAACATGCCAAATACCAAGACTGCGTAAGCCAGAGATGATATATGCCAGCCGCGAATTTTGGTCAAAAGTGTGGTGGGGCTAAATAAGTGATGGACAGGCCGACGTCTACTTTGCCAGCACTGCGGCAGTCGTAGAGGGGGTGGCGCATGGTATTGTACTTTTGGTACGACATGAAAACGCGAATTATGGCCATCCTCTCAGTCTATGGCTGTTCCATGCTCATAAGGAGATTTGGATGCTGATCTCGCGCCAAGGCCTTCCGAGTCCATGGCTCATGTTCGCCATGTTACATTGCGAAGTGACTGACCATGTTATAGAACGGCATCCGGAAGTCTCTGGCTAAATACTTCAGCTACCTTAATCATATAAGCTATCTCGTGGAGTTGACGTGTGTAGGAGTTACAGCTGAACAAAGAAGAGACTAACCTGCATTGTCATCTGGGATCACTTTCATGGGGTTAGGCTGCATAAGGTATTCTCTGCGCCTGAAGGGGAGAACAAGGCAGTTCTCTTCAGATCGGTCAACCATTGGCTCTACTGACCCTGGCTCGCGTTTCCGCACACGGGATGTGATTGAGGAAACACGAATTTTGGCTGCCAATCAGGGGCCTGAGGAATCAGCCTCACTGGATCGGTGCCGCATGATGACCATGCCCTCCAAACCAGGCTCTGACAGGACATGGATCAAACGAGAATTTTGGATAGAGGCCATCTTTGACTAGGTGCTCAGGTCCTTTGAGTATCCGAAAGCGTGGTGGTTAATTCCTTAGGCACCTTGGTTGACACTTAAGGCCCGACCTATCCAACTATTTCCAAGTGGTTTTTATTCCAAGAAAGCTGCTGAACCTATTCGACATGCCGAAAACAGCAAGAATTCCGAGCGATCTATGGGAAGCTCAAAGGCCTCGCATAACCGAGCTGTACGTCGACCAAGACAAGACTCTCGACGAGGTCATCCAGATCATGGCGGAATCTGGCTTCCATGCTACGTGAGTAAGAAAAACCAGATAGGTATTACTTGTCTAACAAGAATATAGGAAGCCCCAATACATTCGCAAAGTTAATGTCAACTGGAAACTGCAAAAGAATTACACCAAAGAAAAATGGCGGCATATAATCGCTTTAGTCGAGAAGCGTAAGGCAGAGGGGAAATTGACAGAAATCAGCATACATGGTCATGCCGTCTCGGAGAAGAAGATGAAGAAGGAATTGAGAAGATATCATATTTCGCAAGTCGATGAAGATCGTAGGTGCATTGTGCTTGAACACAGAAACCTGCTAATCTATTCTGTGTATGAAGTCGTTAGTACTAGTCACAGCGGCGTGGTTGCTTTTACACCACCATCATCAAACTCCATCGTCGTTCTCACCAACGGACTCCCTTGGTTAAAATTCCGAGAAAGGTTCAATAACCTGGGTGGGTTTGTCCTTACCCCAACCATCCTACGTCAAAACTGACGCAACGCAGTCAAGAGTTCAGCACCACTGTTGGGACCAAACCAACAAAATGGGCCACTTGGCTTCTGGGAGCTGGCAAATAAATTACTATCCCCGGCCCATACGACCGGGAAAATGGCTACTGGAAGTCTGCCACTGCAAGAGCCATCAAGACCTGTCTCAGACGACCTCTCGACACACTTTGACATAAAAGGAGAGCGATTGTTTGAACTGGTGCCAATGTTGGATCACCCTAGAGAAATCCTCCTACACCAAGAGCCACCATGGTTGCAAATTTTCAACTCGCTGGTGTTTCTTTGCTCCAATAATCTGATGGAAACCAAAAGCTCCACCTACGAGCTTCTCCAAGTCGCCATCTCGAGTGGCTTTCTCCTCAAGATGAAGGATCTATTTACAATTAGGGTACCGACTCTCGAAATATTTGCAAGACACCTGCTGTTTGTGGCGCTCGGAGTTCATGGAAATAAAGGAATAGAGTTCCTGCATTCCTTACTTGAGTCTGGAGTCAGCCCTGACAGCACTGATCCGGATGATTACGGATGCTCTGCACTCCACAGAGCTGTGATAGAAAGGAACCGGGACGCCGTTCAACTCCTTCTTCAATTTGGGGCAGATCCAAATGGAATGATAGAAGGCACTGAAGACAGCACACTCATGAGCCCTCTAAATTACGCCCTGTATTTGAGTGATGATAGAGATTTGGCAAAAATGTTACTTGATTCAAAGGCAGACGTCAACTCCGGATTCCAGAAGCCTTTAATCATAGCTGTCAGAAAGGGGGACTTGATCCTCGTGAGACTCATGTTAGAAGCTGGAGCAGACCTAAAGATACTACCGGCAAAAGGTCTTTCGGTGATATACTTCGCAATCGAACGTCAGGAATTGAATCTGGTCGACACACTGATTGAAGCGGGAGTGAGCCCGAACTTATCGATCGACGAACTTGACGACGAGGATATCCTTTTCCTGGTACGTCAGTTTGGCTTTTTTGACGAGGCCACCATCCCTACTCCTATAAATTACGCAGTAACCTTTGGCGATGTTGGCATTGTCAAGCGCCTCATCCAAGGCGGCGCAGTACTGGACATATTCATCGATCCAGAAATGCCCAAGAAGACGGGCAGAACTCTGTCCCCAGACGAAGTGTTGACTCCTCTTCAGATGTCAATCCAGGAGCGCGAGCATGAAATAACCGAAATCTTGTTAGATGCAGGCGCAGGCGTGGACTTCCGACATCCAGCCACTGGGACAGCATTGCAGTTAGTATGCGGCTCAGGAATGAAGGAAGGAGAAAAGATAGAGTTGGCTAAAGCCTTGTTGGCAAGAGGGGCAGATGTAAACTCTCTGCCTGGAGAGCCTGCAGGGAGAACAGCAATACAGGCTGCAGCTGAATCTGGAGACTGTGACCTCCTGAAGCTACTTTTGCGTGAAGGGGGCGATCCCTTTGCCTCTGCTGCTGAAGAAGATGGGTTGACAGTATTCCAAGCCGCATTGAGGTCGCGCTCTGCTGAGCTTGTGGCTTATGTGTTCTGGGAATTGGGGAGTTCCTGTAGTTGTTTCAGCTTTTTTGATGGAACAAACTACCTAGAGGAGGCAGTGTATACTGGCAACTCACAACTTCTAGAAACGGTACTGAAGTTCTGGAATCACCATGAGCTACATTGGCCAAAAGAATACATTTCATCGGCCCTTAAAACCGCCGTTCGTAGCGGTTTCATCGATCATATCCTAGGTCCCGACGCTGAGTTGTTTACCACCCACTCATTTACTATCCCCGAAAAAGACGTCAATTCCCTGATCTGTGAATCGATATGGACTCGCGATACGAGAGTATTCGAATTATTAATGCAGAGTTTCATCAAGCCCGAACTCGACTTTTCCCAGCCTGGATATCCGACACCTCTCTGGCTAGCAATACACCAAGGGGAGGAGTACATGGCGGAACGTTTACTCAATGTTGGCGCCAATCCGAACCAACCATCAATGGTTGTATGTCGCAACAGGCACAAAGGATGCTGCCATGATACCGGACCCGAAATGCCGTTGAAGCAGGCGATATGTCGATTCCACGACAGACTCATAAAATTACTCAATGACAAAGGAGCAAACATTCAATGTTTGATTGATGGTAGCTTGACGCCGCTCCTCTTTTCCCTCCAGATAAAAAATGAAGATGCAGCTGTTTTTCTTCTCTCCAAAGGAGGAGATCCAAATGTGATGGACATTTCGGGTACATATACTGTGCTTGGGCTTGCTCTTGAACAAGTTGTCTCGCTTCCAATAGTCCGGTTACTTATTCAACGTGGTGCAGATGTTAATAGGCCTTCTATGTGGGGGACACCACTTGAGCAAGTCGTCGCACGAGGACACTCTCGGCAACACGATGCTATACAGCGATGCCACTTACTTCTGGCAGCTGGCGCCGACGTCAATGCTTACATCGGAAACACTGCACTCAAGTTAGCTGTTATTAACGGTGATGAGGAGCTGGTCAAGGTTTTGATTGAAGCAGGTGCTGATGTCAATGCCTCAAAAAAGGGTTTGACAGCACTTGAAGTGGCGGTTAATAATAACAACACAGATATGGCAAAGCTTCTTGTCAAAGCTGGCGCCAGCTTGAGTACTTCATCGGTCCAAATCAGCTTACTTCAATTGGCTGTCAGCAAGAACAACCTGGAGCTCGCCTCACTCTTCCTTGCAATAGATGTTGATGTTAACGCTTCGACAATGGGAAAGACACCACTCCAAACGGCTGCAAGTTTAGGGAACTTAGGAATGGTAAAGCATCTCATTGATCGAGGTGCCGATGTTGACGCAAAAGACCCTGGCAGAACAACAGCTCTTCAGTACGCCGCGATGAATGGCAGCGTTGAGATCGTTAAGTATCTCGTCGAACATGGAGCATGGGTCAATGAAGAAGCTAGTCTCTTCTACGAAGCAACAGCTCTCGGGCTTGCAGTTGACAATGGCCATAACGAGGCAGCCATATATCTCGTCGAAAAAGGCGCTTCAATCGACAAATGCCCCACCGCGGATGGTACAACACTTCTTCAGCTCGCCGCAAAGCATGGGAATCACGAAATTGTGACATATCTAGTTGAGAACGGAGCGGCCGTTAATGCAGCGCCCTCCACTGACAGAGGGGCAACCGCTCTTCAATTTGCGGCGATCAATGGTCACCTCAAGATGGCTGTTTTCCTTCTCGAGAACGGAGGTCGCGTCAGCGCCAAAGGAGCAGAGGTTGATGGGAGAACTGCACTTGAAGGAGCGGCAGAACACGGCCGACTTGACATGGTCCATCTTCTGTTGGACAATGACGAAGAACCTGACACGATTGAGGAAAGGTGTTGTTATGCAGCAAAGTTTGCAGAGGCTCAAGACCATGACGTGATTGCTAGGATATTGAGGAACTACAAGAGGCCATGATGTTTACGAGCGATTGGAACCAAATATGCCATTGATGATTGTATTCATAAGTAATCGAGATTGTATTGCTGCACTTGAAGTGCCATGTCTAAGCTAGCTGCTTCTGGGCAACCACCTCGTCTTAAGCCTCCTCCTTGTTCTTGTTTCTCTGGTCCATCTCGACTTGCTCAACACTAGCAGTCTCAATATCCTTCTTTTGGTGTTGAGGAAAGTTTTCGTCGTGGACACCAGCAACAGCATGCTCAAAGGCACGGCCACGCTTCTCAGGACCAAACATGGTGGTGAACATGATGCCGAGGGCAATGATGGCAGTAGCAACACCCATCACAGGTCCATAAGCCTCAACCTTGTCACCGTTCTTGAGGGTGACGAATGTCTTTTCGGCGATGGCGTTGACAATCTGGGCTGAGGGAGACGAGATCATGTTGCCGATCTGGTAAGTGACACCAGGGAATGAAGATCGAAAGGCAGGGGGTGACAGTTCGTTGAGATGGATGGGAATGACACCCCAGGCACCCTGAACGAAGAATTGGATGAAGAAGCCGGAAGCACTCAGCCCTCTCTCGGTTGTGGGGAGAATCCAGGCTGGGATCATGAGGGCGGACATGAAAGCCGAGACGATGATGGCACGGCGACGACCAACAAACTGGCTGAGGTACCCAATGATGGTACCACCAACACAGGCACCAGTCTTCATGAGAATCGAGGCACGAGAAGCAGCAGAGTTGTTGAGCTCCTTCTGCTCCAACATGAAGGTGGTGTAAGAGTCTTGAGAAGTGTGCGAGTAGTAGTTGAACCAAGTCATGAGGAAACAACAGTAAACGCACATCTTCCACTCGGCGATGAGCATCTTCTTGCAGTCTGCCCAGAAAGCACCGGGTGTGGAAGACTTCTTGCCCTTGGCGCGGGCTTCGAGGAATTGTTGGGACTCGGGGAAGAAGATACGAACGATACCGACGGCGATTGAGATACCGGCTTAGTGATGTTAGTACAAGTGAAATGATAGACTTTGGCGATGATATCTTACCAGCAATCCAGAAAACGGTCTTCCAACTCTCAGTGCTACCTCCAACGCCAAGGTTGGCGCATGCAGCCAAGACATAGCCGAAAGAGTAGCCCTGTTGCAAAATACCGGACATCAAGCCTCGAGCGTTGGAGCTAGAGCGATATTAGCACGGAAATAAAGGCATTCTCCAAAACTTGGCAAACTTGGCATGATAAAGTTCAATTGGGGTAGGTTTGACTTACGGACACGACTCGAGAGCCATGGCGATAGCATTGCCGTAGACTCCGCCCATGAAAAGACCAAAAAGACTTCGCACGGCGAGGAACTGCTGGAAGGTTGTGCTGTAGATGGTGGCGATCTGAAGAACACCAAGGATGATCATGTTGAAGACCATGGGCCACTTGCGTCCCCACTTGTCACCAGCGAGACCAAACATGGCTGCGCCGACAGATCGGAGGAGAAGAGTGAGGGTAATGGCGGTGGTAATGGAGGTCTTGCTGGTGTCATAGTAAACAGACAGCTTCTTGGTCTGGATTGACAGAGCGTGGAAGTCGAAAGCATCAGCAGTCCAGGCGCAGAATCCTACAAGAAAGAAGATCCAATCCTTGCCAGAAAGCTGAGCCATCAGGCTGATGGGGTTCTTGATAGGATCTGGGTCCCGCCACTCAGTGGTCTCTTCACCATGCTCGTTGGTGATCACGACGCGCTGCTTCCAGATGAAGAGATCACTGAGAGCTTGCTTAGCTGTAGGAATGACACCCTTGACCACAGGGCCAGCGGGCTCGCCTGCAGATGGTTGCTGGACCATTGTAAAGATGCTTATACAGGTCTTGTAGGGAGAAGGGATTGAGGGGGTGATGGTGGTTGGGGAGAATTGAGTTTACGAGGAGAAGAGGGGGGGTTTATATCCTTTTTGCGCAACGCCAGCCACGGCCGCAGATCACAGCAACAAGCTTAATGTGTTATCTCCGATTACAGCATCACTAGCCATTCCCCTGCCATACCATACCATGCAGTGTAATGGTAGCATACACGCCAATATGCCGTACCAACACCAAACCCTAGAGTTACAGTCGACGTGGGGATGGGTCTCGAAGTTGGGGTACTCGTCTAGCGGATCATGCCCGTGAACAGAAAGTGAGGTGACCACCCTAGCCTTGCTCTATTCCCCGCAGAGCGAAGGAATATGGGGATGGAGAAGGGATTATCATTTGTTGAGCCGGGTGAGAACGGAGGGAGGAAGGATGGTTTGTTGGCTAGGATCAAGGTTGAGAGTTTGTTGTCTGTGTGTGTATGCGGGGGAAAGAGGATGACAACGGATCCGCAAGTTTTACGAATGGACAAGTTCAGACAAGATAATGTGATGATAATGCAACGTAGTCAATTGTTTTCGGTGTTTTTGCTTGTTTTTGGTATCTCGTTATATGACATATCCTCTCTCGCCATTACCTATGACGCTGTATCACTCCATCACCGACAAAAGAGGGCTGGAAGCCATGAAACACAATTGGTCACATGGGATTAACCACCAAGATGACAACCCCGTTCGCATACATACGAAAGGTGGACGGGACACCTCCAAAAACGTGCGGAGAGGCCGAGCCAGACTTATTCGGCAATACGGCACCGCTGTGCTTCTCAGTGTAACTGCCGATCACCCCGGAATTTACGCTTATACCACTTTAACGTTAGGGTTTGACATAACATTTTAAGGCTCCCTGTTAAGCTTACCTTGCACTGTGAAATATGGGGCCATCACACCCACTGGCTCTGCGGGGAGAGACAACTAACACCTAAAAACACCAGCGGGCTAGCAAGGGCAGAATGTAGGCAGAACTTTTTTCTCACAATCCCCGCTTACGCTGCAACTCACTACAGAGAAAACAGAAACAAGTGGAGGCAGAATTGGGGGAGATACATGCCGAGTCTCCATCTCGATAGGTGACCTTGGCGTTGGAGGTGAAAGGTATTGGCGTTCCTTGGTCACATCTAGGAGAGGGTGCAAGTGTAACGATGACCCATGATGGTTGTTGGTTTAATCCCTCGTTGGTCCATGCTTACATGCATCGTCTGTGTGAGTTAGGATTGTTCTGGAAGTTGATCGCCGTGGCACTTCTGTAACATCGTCCCTCTTTCGCCAGTCACTTTTGCAGTCCGACTGTTTTTCTTGGTTGGCGATCATTTCGACGGGATGACCTCACTAAGTGCGTCTTGGCTGACTCGGGAAATAATCGCCTTGGCGCCGAGACGCTTTCTCGATGAGGAAATCCGTCGCATTACAGCCGACTTCATCTATCGTCAGTACCAAGGGTTCCCCCATTTGAAGCTATCGCTGAAGACCAGCCAAGTTCCTGTAAGATGTTACGAAAGGCTGCTAGAGATACGAGACAACATAAGAATGTCAAAGCTTTACGAGTCGAGTCTTCTGAGTCAATCCTCCCTCCGTCTTTTCCCCAAAGTGAACAAGGATTCCCTCCTCGGTTGGAGATTGAATCGCGGGGGCTAGGCTGCATCTGCTTCTTTAGTCACAACCTCCGCTCAGCATTAACCCAACAAAGTAATTGGCTAGAAGAATCGACGCACTCTTCATCGCACTGATTGGTTCTTGACCCCCAAAGTCTCGACGTTCTAATGGCGGCTCGTACGATATCTCCAACCTCCACTCCACTTGAGGGGAACGATACACCTCTAGCTGGGGGTTTCGAATGCCCGAGGTTAATGCAATCTTGACTTTTCACTGAGATCCGGGGTATCTGGGGCTGTTACGCGTGTTCAACAGACAGAGATTAGGGCCCGTGTCGGAGACAGCGCATGGGAAATGTCGGGAACACAATGTAACAGAGTCCAAAGTGCTACGGTTCCAGACTCCGACGATGCATCGAGACTGGGGACACGAACGAGAATCTCCTATCATCCCAAGCGCCCGCACCCCTAGCGTTTTCGAGAACATTTCCCAATTATAACTCATACAGCTCTTCTCCACGCGTTGGCAACCCTTCTTCTCCAAATTGTGGCAAACCTACCCCTGCCAATACGTGGAATGCTTCCGCTTATACCTTGATAAGCATGTATGCTTTTTATTCGGATCATTTCGGGATGTGGGAGGATGGTATCATGATAGTGAAAATTGTTATCATGAAAAAGGGAATGAGCTGTTTTGATGTCTGTTTTTGAGTCATCTTCCCCATAGAGAAGCTCAGATGTTTCCGTAGGTCCGAGATCTTAAATCTCAACCCCATAATCTGAATCTTTCTCCAGGCGTTAACCATGTCTGTCATACCACAGTTGCAGTATCCCCAGAGTACGGGCCTCAGATCACCTGATTTGAGATACGGCTGAGATGAATCCTTCGTTAATCTTGTGTTATGGGGCTGTGATCAGATGTTAGCTGTGCATTGGGGACGCTTTGACTCCAACTTTGTAAACGCGCGGAACTACGAGTCCGTTGCGAGTATAGCCTGATGCTGGGGTCATAGTGTTGTGATTCGACGGTGATGTGTTTTGGGGTAAATGGTTCCAGACTATCGTTGAGGCATTATGGAGTAGTCTCTTGATTGCGAGCTAGGTATGTCACCCTCGTGGCTTAAAGTTTATGCTCGAGCGTTCTGTTAGTGACGGAGACTAGTCATCCCTTGTAATACTTTCTGGACCAAACAGCAGGGTTAGAGGATAGCAAGGTCGGTTGCGCAAGATCGAAACCCAGCTATCTCCAGACATTCAGGCGACAAGTCTAGAAGACCACGTCCCGAGACATCCGAAGCTTCCAGACTGAGCTAACTTGAGTGCACTACACGTGGTGTTGTTAAGTGTTTCACTGGTTTCAAGCCACTGAATTATGTATGGTTGAGTCGCCGCTTCGCTTCGTGAGACCTGCTTGGTAAACCGACGATGCGGGCGCCGAATCGCAATCCTTAGCTCTTCAGCTGTCCCACCGTCCTGGGAGAGACGAAAATGGACGGTAAAGAAACGGCTTGTCGTTATCTCTTGACAATAT